CCTACTACAACCACAGCTGCCCCAACAACAACCACAGCTGCCCCAACTACAACCACAGCTGCCCCTACTACAACCACAGCTGCCCCAACTACAACACAGCTGCCCCAACAACAACCACAGCTGCCCTACAACAACCACAGCTGCCCCAACAACCACAGCTGCCCCACAACAACCACAGCTGCCCCTACTACAACCACAGCTGCCCCAACGACAACCACAGCTGCCCCAACAACAACTACAGCTGCCCCAACAACAACCACAGCTGCCGCTACAACAACCACAGCTGCTCCTACAACAACCACAGATCCCCCTACAACAACCACAGCTTAAAATCCTTAACTTTGGTAATTCATGCCTTTTGTCAAGGCTTTGAGGATCTGTACTTTACAACACATTTTTAAACTATTCAACCCATTTTGTCTCCTTTTTTTTTCACAACCAAACAAATCTTGTAACGACACTGATTTTTTCAGCATTTACTTACATGTACTATTGCATCATTTTTAAGCTGTGTATGCTTAATGAGTGATCATTCTCTTCCATTCATGTCTATCATTATATATTGTTTTATTTATCATAATTTATTCAGACACATATGACTAGATATTGTGTGTATCTCAAGCAGTTAGTTGTGTATATTCTCTATCTTTTCACTGCAATTATTTATTTTGACAACCCTTCCCTAATTATACATCTGTTGGAACATTTCTCCATTGTTGTTTCATACTCTAGTTAATGGTTGTGTACTTTTTTCTATTTATATGCAGTCAGTGCATTTGGCAATATTCTACTCAGACGTTTCATATTGCATATTTATATGGTGTACACCTACATCAACATACATTTTTCTGAATTTTTAAGAATCACATTAATAAAAAAAAATTAAAAAGTATAATACCACAAGATTCATTCACTGTTTGACATTTGTTCTGTGTTTTTTTTTTTCATTACTACACCTAAAACAACCACTTTAGACAGAAGACTTCTTAATTACAGAAAAATAACTTTTCTTGAACTGCAGTCCAAATCTACAGAAAAAGATTTATCAACACAGTAGAGTCACAAATGTATTCATGACTATTAGAAAGGCACAGTAAATGATAGAAGGGATTACTCAGAGAAATAATATTTTAAACCAGTTCTTATGATATAATAGAACATTGATACAACATGTTTTTTCAATTACACATTATTATAATTTTAACACAGCAGGCACAATGAAACATGCATGATTAAGTACAGATTTGAAAGCAAGACTTAGCTGTTTGATATAGACGTTAAGTTGTTCCAGCCAAGACATATGGCCATATCCAGCAATTTTCATCTCACATTGGACCCTGATTGAAACCTTTTCCATGCACTATTCTTATAGGTCACATTGAAAATTAAAAAACCCCACACAACCTTCAGAGGGACCGAAACGATGTGATTTTATCTAATAGATTAGTGATGCAAAGCAATAGTAGTGTGCAGGATTTTTTCTTTGCAATGTGACAGTTGGATGCCCACATGAGATAGTTGGTTTTTAAAACTATTGTGATAGGTAGAATAGTTACAGAAATGTTATCTCATACAGAAAATGTGCTAAAGGGTTGTACCCCAAGGTTAGCTGCCTGGAATACCTTTCTGTCAAGAATAACAATAATTGAAAAGGTAGTTTAATATCCACAGTATCCATAGTAAGGAAAATTCATATGACTATTAGTTCCTCATAATTATGGAGTAATATGACTCCTTATGGTATTCGCAGGATAAACTAATTGATTGTTAATTAGTGCAGTGGAAATAGAAATGGAGAGAAAACCTATCAGACCAAATCATTAAATTACCTTTACCATTTAAATTACCATCTATTTCTAAATGCATTGCCTACAACAGTTTTGAATAATAATAATAATTGTGTTGTACTTACTCTCTGATGTACGTCGCTTTGGATAAAAGTGTCTTCGAAGTGAAATGCAATAAAAGTAATACATTTATTTATAAAGCGCTTTAAATCAAAGTGCTGTACAAAGCAATACAGTATAAAAAACATTTCAAAAACTAAAAACAATTAAAAACACATTTTTATTCTCTGAAAAAACATACAGAGAAATTACAACTCATACACAACATTAAAAATATGGGTCTTTAACTTTGCTTTAAATACCTCAACAGGACAAGCCTGCCTGATTTCCAGAGGTAAACTGTTCCAAACTGTCGGTGCACGGAAAGAAAAAGCCCGCTCCCGAACTGTCTTCTTTCTGACATTTGGGACACTCAGAAGACCCGTCCCCTGAGAACGAAGGGCTCGGGCAGGCACATAGGGGTTCACAGGATCAGTAAGATACAATGGTGCGCTGCAATTTAATATTTTAAAGGTTAGCAGCAGCACCTTAAAGTCTGTAATACCCTTTGTATTATGCTTGAAAGAGACTCTAGAATCGTTTCACTAATATGTCATGTAACAGGACCAATAAGATGTTTTTATTTTGGAGTAAACTGTCAAATTTTCCCTGCATGGGTGACAGAGGTTGTTGAATTACAATACATCTAAAGATATAATTTACCATGTAGAGTGAACATGATTAGTAATAAATGACTTGCTGGATATGAAGATAAATGATATCTCGTTAAAACCAACATTTCAGACTTTTGTTCAAATTAAGCACAATTATGTTACTGAATCCCATGTTAAAGCAAACTTATCAAGAAGTCAGAGATCTTTGGTTGCTAAGATGAGAACAGGAATCCTTTCTCTCGCTCTTGAAGTCGGCAGATTCAAAAACATCCCAAAGGAACACAGACTGTGTGAACTATGTGATTAGGAGAAGTTGAGAACAAATCTTGTTTTCTTTTGTAATGTCTTTTTTATGTCCTTTGATTAATGAAATGTAAGCTCAAAATCATGAGCTGGCCACGATTGTCTCTGAAGTCTGGAAGAAATGTCAGGATGGTTTGTTTTGTTATAACTATTAAGTGTCACCTTTTGGTCAGTAGTCTGTAGTTTGTTTTGGGCTGGGCCAATTTTTTGATTTGATAATGAAATTAAATCATCAATCATCCTCTTTGTATTCAAATAAAAAAGATATTTTAATGTTAATGTTTTGTTGTTTGTAAGATGTACTCAGAATAACAATGAAAAGGATTATTTTAATTGATGTGAAAAGGACACAGGGTGTGACCCATGTCTACAAATAGAATGGCTCATAGACATAAAAAAATGTAGCGGCGTCACTGTGACTTGCATGGGGAAGGAGGTTTCTCTCTCTTTCAAACTACATAATCTGCTGTTGTATTACTGCAAACGTGCTGAACAAAGTTAAATACTTTGCATTATGTATCTCTTTGTCAAACTTTTGTGGTCAGTTCCATCAAGGCTCTCACTAAACTACTGAACACACAATGCTAAAGTTTAGGGGTGTAAGCACATAAAATAAGGTTAGTTGGAAGAGAGATGTTTAAAAAATTATTTTAAAACCTAGGTGTAAAAACAAGACCTATGAGGTTTATATGTTATATCCTGAATATCAATAATACAAGCCAAGTTTCTTCAAAAAATGTACACTGAAAAAGTCTATAATAATAATACAAAATAAAGTTTCTATATTTAAAAAAGAAAAGAAAAACAAGTTTCACTAGTTTCTGGTCAATAATTGGTCTACTGTAAGCTTTGTCCCTGTCTCTAAAACTACTCACTTTAAAGCTTTTACGTTAAGGCCAATTAATAATCAAACACAGCTGAAAGAGACAGAGAGTACCTTTATCTCCAAAGCACTTGTGTTACTGTGTAACGTTTGGCCACATGTTCATTTAATATGTTTTGTCTGACAATTCTTGAAAGCTTCTGCATTACGTCCAAAAGTATTAAATGTGTCAAACAAGAAGGGTTTTCCTGTCCTTGAGGGTCGAAATAACAAGCAGAGGGAGAGAAGATCCTTCTACAGATAATGATCTAAAACTGTGTACCAATCTGATATATCCGACATTTTCATCATCAACATGGGTTGCAAATTATGTCTTGTTAATGTTAAGATACTTTTTAATAGGCTAACCTAATGATGGTTCTTTATTGGATATTAATACTGATTGCTGAAGGGTTCTTGTTCTTCCCTAGAAGTCGAAAGGCTCTACCTAACTTTTAACAAGTGATACTTGAAAGTTGAAAGGGCTTGGCATTTCAGGTGACTTTGGCCAGATTCCATCATGCTTAACAATTGGACAATAACACTTTGGACAATGCAAAATTGCACTAATTATCCCTGTCCTTCTTGTTTTTGCCACACCTTGTGAGCTGTCTAACTGTATTAAAACTCCACAGCTAACAGTCATCAGTCAGTCACAGTAGAAGAACAGTACAGGATTCTTTCAACATTATTTCTGTGAGTATTCCTTTAACTTTGAATTTATTAAACCGAACTTTCTTTTTTAAAATTTGTTTAAAGATTAATTGCAACAAATGCTTTGTCTCTCCAACTAGCTCACAAGCTTAACTGGACACATTTTAGCCAGAGAGAGTACAACAAGCAGGCATGTCAGTTACAGTTATTAGAGTTAAGAGAAGCAGTTGGCTGAAAATTCTTGCCAAACTAGTCCGTCTTCTGTGTCTTCCAGCTCAAACCTATATTTACGGATCAGTTGTTGGAACAAGACTTTGGGTGGCTACTGTGCATCATAGCCTTTCCACACTCTTTCCACGTTTCCATATAACAGGTGCTTAGTTTTTATTTTACTGCTGGCTTTTGTCAATAATTGCTGCGCCTAAGTAAAAGTAAAACCTACCTTTAAAATGCTTTGAGTGCCTCGAATTGGAACCACCCCTAATAAGATTACCTTATATTTATTGTGATTTTAGCTTTAATTTTATATTCATATGCTTAAGGATATTAGGACCAGATTTATTTTGTGGAAACACACATTCACCTCTAAATATAAATTCCACATTCATTTTTATAAATTCCATTTTTTAATCTGCATATTCATTCTTTTTTTCTATTTCTATTTATTCACATAGCAACAAAATGTGGAAGCTAAGTCTATCTGCAGGTAAGACATGCTGGTCAAGTATAAGTGTCTTTGAATGTTTGATTCAATTAAATCTCCTGTATTGTATTGTCTCATGCAGGTAGTTTCTGTTAGGTAACCCAAGTTATATTCACTGAGAGGAATTTGTATTCATTTTACCTCCAATGTACTGAGAAATATCAGAAATGTCAGAAAGCTTGAATTAATTAACCCTGAACAGTAAACTAGAACTTTTACCTGTAATGCATGAATTATTATGTCAGAATTTGTATTATTATTGACTCACCCGTTAAGCATTTTTATTAAACCGTATACTTACACATGTGTCCTTTTGAAGGTCTCTGTTTGATCTTTTCCAGCTTGGGTAAGTTCATCAGACAAATTGATCATAATCATCACCGTTATAGCTGCAATGTCTACATAGGACTGTCTGTCTAGAAGAAATATAATATCCTTGAGTAAACAGATGTTAAAGTTAATAACGACATTGAAACATTTGATCGACACAATAAATAATTAAAATAATCATGATTTTTCTTTCATGTATATAGCTTCTACCTCCAGGCTGATGTGTTACTATAACAGCAAAGCAGCAGACAGACCTGCTATGGGGAAGTTCAGTGTTTCAGATATTGATCCAGACAAGTGCACCCATCTGATTTTTGCCTTTTCTGACATAATTGAAAATGAGCTGGTTCCCACAACTGTGAATGATGTTCAGCAGTACTTTGTCTTTAACGCACTCAAACAAAGGTCAGTCCTTAGGTCTATAAATACTGTGGAGATTACATTGTAATACAAGGTATTTGTTTTGCAAAAAAATCATAAATGAATTTGTTTGCTCCTGTAGAAATCCACTTCTGAGAACTATGCTGGCTGTTGGTGGAGAGAAGTTTACGACAGAAAAGTAAGTTGCCTTCAAGGACAAAATTACTAGCAAACTGTTGTAATACCATGACGACCAAATTGCCTTGCTTTTTGTTATACGGTTTCAGAACTTCGTGCAAAAAGAAGGAAAAATATATTCATATTTAAGATTTGGAAACTTTAGTTTTTTTGCACAAAATTAATTAAAATTGAAAATGCAAAATTGCATGCAACCAAAATGACCCCTTCAGCGAATTAATGAAAATAACAAAACATTGAAAAGAGATTTGTATTTCACTGAAACTTTGCAATATGTATTTTAATCGCTTAGGTCAGTGACTGCACATTATAATAATTATGGGGATCATCATACCTTTTATTAGGGCCTGAGCACCAACCTCGGAGCAAAGAACCTATTTGAATGCAAGGAATTGTCATTCAGTGTTTTCCTTTGAATAACAAGGTTTCATAATAGGGCCGTGGCGTGATGTCAAAGTTTGAAGTTGTTTTTGGCATAGTGCCAAAAAAAGTAAATGCTTATAACTCTACTATGCAGTGTGCAATCATCACCAAAATATTCATGCATGACACCCCACCCGCAAGCAGTCCGCCCTGAACACATCCATGGTTTAAATTATTGAATTAGTCACAGCGCCACCTGTTGACATAAGCTAGTCACTACTTTTGAGCAATATTTAATTTGCATTAGCCATTGTTGAACAGTTGCTCATAGCACCCTAAAAATCACTGTTGACCATTCTAAGACCTTGGCCATACTACCTTTCCAAGCTCAAGGGCCTGCGTCAAAAGCTTTGCATTACGGGGACGCGTCGTCCGCCATCAAACAGGAAGTAGTTATTAGAGTGGCTTACCTTGGTCGTATACGCACAAAACTTCATACACATCATCCCTCTGGGAAAGTAAACATTTCCATATAGGTGTAGTAAGTGGGTCACCAACATAGCTCTACCTACTGGTGAGAGGCGGCACTACATTTCAAATACAATGTTAGATTTGCTCAAAATTTCACAGATAGTATCAGGTTTGGCCTCTAACAAAGTCACATTCCAATAATAAACTGTAACCATAGTGCCCCTTACTGCAAGGACTAAGTACTACCTCCTATTTACAATGTTAGATTGTTTTCAAATTTCACATGAATGATGTCAGTCCTGCCTTTATCACATCTAGCTTAATACAATTACACTATCAATGAAGCGCCCCCTATTGGAAATAGCCAGTTCTACATCTCATATACAATGTTAGATTTTCATGAAATTGCACAGGTGTCATGACAATGCCAGCCTGAAGTGCTCTACTTAAAAATAATACGGGATCTTCATTGCGTTGCCTACTTTTGCGTTTGCCAGTAGTACAACTTTTACACTAATGGATCTGCTGACCTGGTCCCTGGCCCCACCTTGCTGCTGCTGTATTCCTCGCACTTGCGACACCCCGACATGCACAGGGGTGGTGCAGGGTTCCTTCATCATTGCATCGGGTTTTCATTTTTGTTAATATTTTTAATATATATTGAAATCATGGTTGTACACATTGCAATCAAACGCAAAATTGGTTTACACGTTATCTCACGTTTTGATTGCCTTGTTCTGCTTGAGCAGAGGGCTTCATTGAATAGGTGTGAGTGCAAATACCCCTTTGTGTTTATCTTTTTATATTTTTATGCTTACCAGATTCAGGACAATGGCGGGATCACAAGAGAACAGAGAATTGTTCATCAAGTCTGTTATCAAACTACTAAGACCATTGAAGTTTGATGGGCTAAACCTTGACTGGAGGTATCCAACTGAAGAGGACAAGCAGAGATTCACAGAGCTTTGCAAGGTCAGATCCTTAATATCTCCTCTGGGACCGGTATTTTCAGAAAAAAGCCATACTGCAAATGCCATGAGTGACAATAAAATGTAACTGAGACTGAGAACCATGCTTCTGTGTTGTATAGGAGCTCAAAACAGCCTTTGTGGATGAAGGAACTTCAAGTAACCAGAAAAGATTAATCCTTGCAGCATCTGTCTCTGCTGAGAGGTCAACCATCGATGCTAGCTATGAAGTGGAAGAAATTGCCATGTAAAATATTTTTTAAATAAATCTCTGCCATGATAATAATAAAAAGCGGCTGTTCTGTTTTAGTGAAGGTGATTCCCTCTTAATTTATCAGGCACTTGGATTTCATCAATGTGTTGACATTTGACTTCCACGGCCCCTGGGAAAGTGTCACAGCACATCACAGCCCCTTATTCCAGGGATCCCAAGACACTGGAGATTCTATCTACTCTAACACTGTAAGCAAGAGTTTATTTTTTCATACAGCTTTGTTTCCGAACATGTACCTGTATCCTATTTGTTTTGATTATTGGTTTTCACTTCTTAGGCCTCTGCCTTAGAGTACTGGCGGGACCAGGGAGCACCTGAAGAAAAACTGAACATGGGGATCTCAGCTTATGGACGGGCTTTTTCCCTGTCCTCTAATTCAAGCGCTGTCGGTGCACCAGCCAGTGGTCCTGGTGAGGAAGGCTGCTACACCGGTGAAGAAGGATTCTGGGCCTCTTATGAGGTATTACTGCACGGTTTCAATACAACCATTTATATTAATGGCCTTATTATTGGCCAACAGTTTTGGCTGTATTTGGTGTGCCAGATATATATCCTTGTAATTATTACTTTATTAGATCTCAATACGAAATATGATCCTTCTTTTCAGACTTGCCTTTATCTGGATGGGGTACAAACCCATCTTATTTCTGATCAGAAAGTTCCATATGCCACAACAGAAAATCAGTGGGTTGGATTTGACGACACAACCAGTATAAGTACCAAGGTAATCATCACTGAAGTACAAAATGTGGTTACATTTACTTTTTTTACAGACTGTTGAAATGTTATCTTTCTCATCCTCTCAGATCAATTACCTCAAAGCAAACAACTTCGGCGGAGCCTTTGTCTGGTCTCTGGACCTGGATGACTTAAGTGGGCAGTTCTGTAACCAGGGCAAGTTCCCATTCGTTAGCCAACTGCATAATCTGCTAGTACCAGGTAAACAACTCGTCAAAAAGTGTCCATATTGTTTTTAAGGGGTACAGGTTTCACCATTAATTTGTTCAAAAACCATTAGCAATGCAACATCATATAAGCCACCGTCTTGTACTTCTATAACTTTTTATGCAGAGTACATATCTAGTTCAGCATTTTTTAAATCAAGGCATCTCAGAAGTCATGCTCTTTATGTGTTTCCCACAGATTGATGCGATACCAGGGCGATGGAGTTCTGGGGGAGGGGGGTGAAGGGGATCGCCATACTTTTTTTCTTTACTCTTATCTTAGGGTATATTTTAATATTGCGTTTGTATTCATATCAAATATATTCTTCCCTCTGAATTAATTTAGTGTTCGCAACAAATGACTTTAATCTGCTTTAATCTGAGTGGAGATGTTCACAGACTACAGCAGGCTGTGAGATGTCAGCTATCTATTGAGGCTGCCATGCCTGCCCAAAAGGTCTTTACCGCACTCTCTACAGACGAGGCTACAGACATAATCTGCTCCACACTAGCCTCATCTCTGAACAAGCACTGCCCTCTGGTGTCCAAACCCGCTCGCAAAACCCACCCTAGCCCATGGCTCATGGAAGTCGTAAGAGAGCAAAGAGCAGGGCTGAGGTCAGCAGAGAGAAAATGGCAAAAATCCAAACAGTCCGCTGACCTCAATGACTATAAGCAAAGACTTGTCTCATTCTCCTTCAGCCTGAAAACGGCCAAGACAACATATTATCAGAACAAGATATGCAATGCCAGAGATACAAGAAAAATGTTTTCTGCTTTTAACTCACTGCTTCAACCACCTCCCCCTCCACCCTCCAATCTGTTCACACCAGACATGTTTGCCTCGTATTTTACTGAAAAGGTTGCAACCATCAGTAACCAGTTTTCTGAATCTGACCAACTCAGCCCAAAGGCACCAACCAAAAATGCCTCACTCGACTCATTCTCCTCTCTGACTGAGGATGAAGTCTCTAAGCTTGTGCTAGATTCTCGGCCCACCACCTGTCCTCTGTACCCAATACCATCAAGCCTCCTGCAGACCATTTCCTCTCCGCTTAATGCTGCACTTAAACATGTCATCAACTCCTCTCTGTCAATGGGTGTGTTCCCCACTGCATTCAAGCAAGCTCGGGTCACCCCTCTGCTCAAAAAACCCACACTAAACCGAGCGCAGGTTGACAACTACAGACCGGTTTCTCTTCTGCCCTTTCTGTTAGACCTGTCTGCTGCCTTTGACACAGTCAACCATCAAATCCTCCTATCCACGCTCTCTGAACTTGGAATCTCAGGATCTGCCCTCTGCTGGTTCGTGTCCTACCTCTCTGGGCGATCCTTTAGAGTGTCGTGGAAGGGAGAAGTGTCCAAAGCGCACAGCTTATCCACAGGGGTACCTCAAGGGTCAGTGCTTGGTCCCCTTTTCTTCTCCATATTCACGAGATCACTTGGTTCAATAATCCGCTCTCATGGCTTCTCATACCACTGCTATGCTGACGATACCCAACTCTTCCTGTCATTCCCACCAGACGATGTTACAGTCTCTACAAGAATCTCATCATGCCTTGCTGATATCTCTAAATGGATGAATGAACGGCACCTTCAACTCAATCTTTCAAAGACTGAGCTCCTTGTCATCCCAGCCAGTCCCTCTATGCAACCACAGATCAATATCCAGCTTGGAATAACCAAACTCATGCCCACAAAGTCTGCCCAGAACCTGGGTGTCATGATTGATGACCAGCTAACTTTTAAGGTTCAAGTAGCCTCGATTGCCCGGTCATGTCGATTTGTCCTGTACAACATCAGGAAGATCAGACCTTACCTGTCAGAACAAGCTACACAGCTCCTGGTACAGGCTCTTGTAATATCGATTATTGCAACTCTCTACTGGCAGGTCTTCCTACATCCACTATCAAACCTCCGCAAATGATACAAAATGCAGCAGCACGACTGGTCTTCAACCTTCCTAGAAGAGCACATGTCACTCCGCTGTTCATCTCCTTACACTGGCTCCCAGTTACTGCTCGCATCAAATTTAAAACTCTGCTGCTCGCTTACAAAACAGCGACAAAAACGGCTCCTCCTTACTTTAACTCTCTCATCCAGGTCTACACTCCCTCCTGCCCACTACGCTCTGCCAATGAAAGGTGTCTGATCCAACCTTCACAACAGGGTCCAAAGTCTCTGACTAGACTCTTCTCCTCTGTTGCCCCCCCGGTGGTGGAATGAAGTTCCAAACTCCATTCGATCTGCAGACTCCCTCTGCACCTTTAAGAAAAAGCAAAAGACCCAGCTCTTTTATGAATACCTACTAAATTAATGATGATGGTTTCGATATCATTGATGATGATGATGGTTGTGACGATTGTTTTTGTTTGATAACGATGACTTATAAGATGGTTTCTATACTGATTAGAGCTCTCAAGAATTGCCGTCAATGTTGTGCTTTGCCTCTGCGCAATGCCTGTCAGCACCCATGTGTCCAATCGGACTCAAAGCTGATCGTTTGCTCTTACTGATATTGTTCCCTTTTTTCTAGATCCTTGCTTGTGTTGTACTTACTCTCTGATGTACGTCGCTTTGGATAAAAGCGTCTGCTAAGTGAATTGTAGAATTGTAGAAGATGCTGCTATTGTTAAATTAGTTGCAGACACGGTGAGAGTCAACGGAGTAAAGTTAAGCCGACCGTTTGACCGGATCACATGTTTACCCGACTCGGTCCGTACAGATCACGGCTCAACTGAGTGCTGTTTCACTAAAAATAAAAAGGTGCGCATGGTGACTGGTGCTCCAGTGTGTGTGTATGTGTGTTTGTGCACGGTGTATGTTGGTGTGTCTCAGCGTGCCCCACGATGCTGACAATCGTGACAGCAGAGAGAGGAGCAGTAAAAAGCAACTGCAGTTCCATGAAATTTACTTTTGGTTTTGGAACCGTAAGGTCCTCGCGCATGCCTTCTCTCTCTCACTAACTCTCTTGTGGACGGAGCACTTTTATGAATAGAAAAAAAAATTAATAAAAACAAGTTGGAAATATACTTGGCCGGCCAGAAATGAACTTAAGCGGTCCGCAATAGTATCGTCTATGTGTGGGAAACACTGTCTGTCATTTCACAAAATGGTGATCAAAAAAGGGTCAAGATAAATTAACAAGATATATGCCTGTTTTTCTTTCAGGTTTCCCTGAATCAACAACAACATCTCCCCCTAATACAACATTAGCTCCCCCTACTGTAAGCACAGCTCCCCCTACCCTCAACAAAGCTCCCCCAGCAAAAACAACAACAACTCTCCTTTCTCAAACCTCAGCTCCCCCTACAACGCACAAAACACTACCTACTACAACCATATCTCCTCCTACTACAACCACAACAACTCCCCCTACTACAACCACAATTCGCCCTACTACAACTGCAACTCCCCCCACAACAGCACAGCTCCGCCTAAAAAAACCACAACTCCCCATACAATAACCACAGCTTCCCCTACAACAACCGCAGATACCCCTACAGCAACAGCAGACCCTACAACAACCACAGCTGCCCCTACTACCACAGCTGCTGCTTCAACAACCACAGGTGCACCAACTACAACCACATCTGCCGCTACAACCACATCTGCCGCTACAAACACATCTGCCCCTACAACAACCACATCTGCCCCAACAACAACCACAGTTGCCCCAATTACAACCATAGTTGCCGCTACAACAACCACATCTGCCACAACAACAAACACAGCTTCCCCAACTACAATCACAACTGCCGCTAGACAAACCACAGCGGCACCAACAACATCACAGCTGCCCCAACAACAACCACTGCTACCCCAACAACAACCACAACTGCCCTAACTACAACCACAGCTGCCCCAACTACAATCACAACTGCCGCTACACAAACCAAAGCGGCACCAACAACATCCACAGCTGCCCCAACAACAACCACTGCTACCCCAACAACAACCACAACTGCCCTAACTACAACCACAGCTGCCCCAACTACAACCACAGCTGCCGCTACACCAACCACAGCGGCACCAACAACAACCACAGCTGCCCCAAAACAACCACAGCTGCCCCAATTACAACCACATCTGCCCCAACAACAACCACAGTTGCTTCAACAACAACCAAAGCTGCCCCAACTACAACCACATCTGCCCCTACTACAACCACAGCTGCCGCTACAACAACGACAGCGGCACCAACAACAACCACAGCTGCCCAAACAACAACTACTTCTGCCGATACACCAACCACAGCGGCCCCAACTACAACCACAACTGCCCGAACTACAACCACAGCTGCCCCAACTACAACCACAGCTGCCCCAACTACAACCACATCTGCCCCTACTACAACCAAAGCTGCGCCAACAACAACCACAGCTGCCCCAACTACAATGACAACTGCCGCTACAACAACCACATCTGACCCAATTACAACTACATCTGCCCCTACAACAACCACAGCTACCCCAACTACAACTGCCCCAACTACAACCACAGCTGTCACTATTAAAACCACAGTTGCCCCAACAACAACCACAGCTGTCCCTACAAAAACCACAGCTGCCCCTACAACAACAGCAGCCCCAACAACAACCACAGCTGCCTCACCTACAACCACAGCTGCTGCTACAACAACCAAAGCTGCCACTACAAAGATCACATCTGCCCCTACTACAACCACAGCTGCCCCAACCACAGCTGCCCCTTCAACAACTTCAGCTGCCCCTACAAACACAGCTTCTGGAATCATTGCTCCCACTACAAAAACCACAGCTGCCCCTACTACAACCACAGCTGCCGCTACAACAACGACAGCGGCACCAACAACAACCACATCTGCCCCAACAACAACCACAACGGCCCTAACTACAACCACAACTGCCCCAACTACAACCACAGCTGCCCCAACTACAACCACATCTGCCCCAACTACAACCACAGCTGCCCCAACTACAACCACATCTGCCCCTACTACAACAGAGGCTTTCCCTACAACAACGACAGCGGCACCAACAAAAACTACTGCTGCAGCTACACCAACCACAGCGGACCCAACTACAACCACAGCTGTCCCAACTACAACCACAGCTGCCCCAACTACAACAGAGGCTTTCCCTACAACAACCACAGCTGCCCCTACTACAACCACTGTGGCCCCAACAACAACAACAGCAGCCCCTACAACAACCACAGCTGCCCCAATTACAACTACAACTGCCGCAGCTGTCACTACTACAACCACAGCTGCCCTAACAACAACCACAGCTGCCCCAACTACAACCAAAACTGCCCCAACAACAACTACAGCTGCCCCAACTACAACCACAGCTGTCCCTAAGACAACCACAGCTGTCCCTACAACGACAGCTGCCCCTACTACAACAACAGCTGCCCCAACCACATCTGCCCCTACAACAACCTCAGCTGCCCCTACAAACACAGCTTCTGGAATCATTAATCCCACTACAACAACCACAGCTGCCCCTACTACAACCACAGCTGCCGCTACAACAACGACAGCGGCACCAACAACAACCACATCTGCCCCAACAACAGCTGCTGCTGCCGCTACACCAGACACGGCGGCCCCAACTACAACCATAGCTGTCCTAACTACAACCACAGCTGCCCCAACAACAACAACAGCAGCCCCAACCACAATCACAGCTGCTGCTACACAAAACACCGCTGCCGCTACAACAACCACAGCTGCCCCTATAACAACCACATCTGCCCCAACAACAAACACAGCTTCCCCAACTACAACCACAGCTGCCGCTACACCAACTACAGGGGCACCAACAACAACCACAACTGCCCCAACTACAACCACATCTGACCAACTACAACCACAGCGGCCCCTACAACAACCACATCTGCCCCTACTACAACCACAGATGCCCCTACCACAACGACAGCTGCGCCAACAACAACCACAGCTGCCGCTACACCAACCACAGCTGCCCCAACTACAATGACAACTGCCGCTACAACAACCACATCTGACCCAACTACAACCACAGATGCTGCAACTACAACCACATCTGCCCCTACAACAACCACAGCTACCACAACTACAACTGCCCCAACTACCACCGCAGCTGTCACTACTACAACCACAGCTGCCCCTACAACAACAGCAGCTCCAACAACAACCACAGCTGCCCCACCTACAACCACAGATGCCGCTACAACAACCAAAGCTGCCACTACAAAAACCACATCTGCCCCTACTACAACCACAGCTGCCCATACAACAAACCACAGCGGCCCAACAACAACCAGAGTCGGTCCTGCCAACTACAACCACTGTCCCCCACACAAAAACAGCCCCAAACAACCAAAGTTGCCCCACTACAACCAACTGCCGCCCACACTACAACCATAGCTGCCCCTACTACAACCACAACTGCCCCAACTACAACTACAGCTGCCCCAACGACAACCACAGCTGTCCCTAAGACAACCACAGCTGCCCCTACAACGACAGCTGCCCCTACTACAACCACAGCTGCCCCAACCACAGCTGCCCCTACAACAACCTCAGCAGCCCCTACAAACACAGCTTCTGGAATCATTGCTCCCACTACAACAACCACAGCTGCCCCTACTACAACCACAGCTGCCGCTACAACAACGACAGCGGCACCAACAAAAACCACATCTGCCCCAACAACAACTACTGCTGCAGCTACACCAACCACAGCTGCCCCAACTACAACCACAGCTGCTGCTACACCAACCACAGCTGCCGATCCAACAACCACAGATGCCCCTACTACAACCACAGCTGCGCCAACAACAACCACAGCTGCCCCAACTACAACTACAGCTGTGCCAACAACAACCACATCTGCTGCTACAACAACCACAGCTTCCCCTACAACAACCACAGCTGCCCCAACAACAACCACAGCTGCCCCAACTACAACCACAGCTTCCCCTACAACAACCACAGCTGCCCCAACTACAAC